GGGGGTGGGGTCTTGGTCCCTGGGTGAAGGAGGAACTTGCTGGTGGGACCACGTGGCCCCCCGTCCCGCCCCAGCCCCTTCTCCCCGGTACCTGGTGGAGTCTGGCCAGCACCGGCCCTGTCTTCTCCTTCTCCTCGTACTTCTCCACCTTGGCCTGCAACCTCCTGTAGTCCTGCAAGGCCTGCTCCCGCCGTTTCACCGCCATGTTGAGGCTCGGGAAGACACTGCCAAACCTGCCGGACGCAGTGGGCTGGAGACGGGCCTGTTCTTGGAGCTGCAGGCTGGCAGCTCATCACTCATTCAAAAATACGTATCGAGCGCCTACCAAACGCCAGACTCTGTTCTAGGTCTTGGGGATCTTGCTGTGAACGAGATAGACGGGGCCCTGGCCTTGGTGGGGCACAGGCTGAGAATGTCGCCTTGGGGTAAGGCCAGGGGAAGGAAGACAGGGTAAGGGCCGCTCCACTGCCCTTTAGCCCCCACCCCACATTTCAGAGACCTGTGCTACAGCATGGAGGAGCTGAAGACTCCTTGGAGTCTTTTTATTTTTGACCTGGTACAAAAAGATTCAGGTTCTATTAATTAGCATCAGGCATCTCAGAAGAAACAAAAGACAGATGAGCTAGCAGAGCCAGCAGAGCTCTCTGGACAATCACGAAGGAACAGGGCTGGACAGAGCTCAGGAAGCCATTTGAGCAGGTGGAGGCAGCACCCCTTGGGAGGGGGCCCGGAGCCCTCAGGGCAGCTGCTCTGAGGGCTGGTATCAGAAAAGCTGGGAGATCAAGCTTCTGTCCAACATCTTCCATTAAAAAAGTGAAAAAACTGAGACCAGGGAGATGACATGACTTGTCCAAGGTCACAATTCGGTAGTGACGGTCCAGCAGATAACTCAAGTGTCCCAGCTCTCCCTCTGGCACCTCCCTACCACCTCATGCTGCCAACAGCAGGTGACAGACCTGCAACCGAAATCTACTCCCATATTACTCAGCCATTAACAACAAGTGAAGTGATGCCATTTGCAGCAAGATGGATGGACCTAGAGATTATGACACTAAGTGAAGTAAGCCAGACACAGACAAGTATCATATGATATCGCTTATATGTAGAATCTAAAATATGACACAAATGAACTTATTTACAAAACAGAAACAGACTCACAGACATAGAAACAAACCTGCGGTCACCAAAGGGGAAAGGAGGGGGGAAGGGATAAATGATAAATTAGGAGTTTGGGATTAACAGATACACACTGCTATCTATAAAACAGATGAACGGCAAGGTCCTACTATATAGCACAGGGAACAATATTCAATATCTTATAATCATCTATAACAGAAAAGAATCTGAAAAATACATATATATACACATATATATATGCATGTATACACACCTGTATATATACATATATATACATGTATATCTATAACTATATATAAAAAACGGAATCACTTTGCTGTACACCTGAAACTAAGACAACCTTGTAAATTGACTCGACTCCTATTAAATGACGACAAGCTACTCCCAGCCTTTTCTACCAACTCTGCTGGAAAAACAGGAATCCTCATGTTCTACTGTTGAAACGGCCAAACTGTCAAACCAAATGTTTGAGGAAACCGACCGCAGGAGCTCTTCCTGCCCCACCAGGACTAAAAGAACCACAGGGCAGTGCTAGGGTGGCTGTTCAGAAAGAGCAGCAGCAGAGGCTCTGGCATTTTTGGCACCGTGGGCCTAATCTTTGTGACTAGGATCCTCTTTGACTGGGAAGGGCAACACAGTCTTGGGGTGGACCCAGGGCAGGACCGCATCCCAGGCAGGAATGCTGCCTCCTCGTTGCCTAACGAGTGTGGGAGGAGGCCAGGCCAGCCTGCAAGCAGGTTTTCTGGAACTGGACAGAAGATGGGGCAGCTTCCTTGAACACAAAGCCTGAGGGGCTGGAGCGTCTACCTCGCAGATGGGAGCCCGAGTGGCCGGTGGAGCCCCGGCCTCAAGCCGAGGTGACGGCGCAGTGGTTATTCGGGGGGGTTGCGAAGCACACAGAGGGAGACCCAGGACCAGAAGCAGAGTCGGTTCTTCCCAGAGCAACTCAGAGAAGATGAAAGATGGGGCAGGAAAAAGCCTCAACAAATCAAGAGTCCACGTGACATAAGAGTAATGAATACCTCTGCCAGAGAACAAAGGATAGAAACTTGACTTGACGCATAATGCCCCAAACAAAGCTATAGGCCCAGGCAGCAGTTTGATGAAACAGATAGAAAGGCCACTAAAGCGGATTCTTCTCACTTTCTGGGTGTCCGTAATGGGCTCACTACGTAGCTGGAGATGCTAACGTGGGCCAGACCACCCACGCTTCTCCGAATCCTCAGTTGCAAGCCCCTATACACTGCAATCAAATCAACACCTGAATGACTGCTCTGCCGGGCAGAAGACGCAGGCCTATTTGGTGCTCTGCAAACTGGACCAGCCACCCGCAGGACACAAGGTCCCCCTGGGGTAGGGCTGAACACGCCTGGGACGGCTGAGAACCTCCGGGGGAGCTGGACTCACTTCACTGCTTTTGCCTCAGGCAGTGCTACGACGGGGTCTCAGATGCCAGGTGAGCCCCTCTCCCTCGCCGGCGGAGAGGCATGTGGCTCAGGGGAGCAGGTGCACCTGGGCCTGGGAAGCCGCCACGCCACCTCCCCCTGCACCCCATGTCCTCGGAGAGGAGGGCGGCACGAGTAAGGAAGGAATGTGCAGCACTGGCGTCATCCGCGGGTGGTCAAGCAGCTCCTGATACTCTGACCCCGGCAGCACTTGGACCAGTGCTCACAACCCTCTTCCCCCCCAGAAAGTCCACTGGGCTTTATCTCCAGGGTCAGGGTCGGATACAACGGCAAGGCTGACTACAACATGCTGGGACTGGGCTGGCCTACAGAGGATGTAGAAATCCAGCCCCAGGGAAGGTCCTGAGCCGAGGGGGAGGAGGCCTGGATCCAGGGCTGACTGATTTCCAGGCAACCTCAGGGGACGGGTGTGTCCACAGGACACTACCTTCAGCCTTCCGGAAGCAAGGCCACGTATCCTCTGGGGGGAGGAAGCGGCTGCTCTGTGAGGCCCGAGGGAAACTTTGGTCAGCACGCTGACTTCCACCTCCCACGGCAGACAGCACCCTTAGCTGAACCCAGAGGCCACGGAGGGCTCAGCTTGATGTCCGCCGCTGCCAGCTGCCGAGGGACGTGACTCCTTGGGCCCTGGGCCTCGGGACCGCCCGGGTAGGTGTCACGCCCTTCTCACAGTAAAGCAGGGAAGCTAAGGTCAGGCAGGGGAGATCAGACAGTGTAATCGGAGGTAGCTGACAAACGGGGGGTGGGGACCAGAACTCTGTAATCCCTGGCTCAGGTCACTACCCCACTGAGGCCACACAGCCTCGTTTTCCACTTGGAAGTAACAGGAAGAACTCTGCCAGCTCCATGTGCCGGGGGGTATAAACACCGGGGTGCTGTTCGGGGAAAGGGGCTACTGGCAGGGGGGA